GAGCACACACCCATGCAGAGCACACACCCATGCAGAGCACACACCCTGTGCAGAGCACACACCCAAACAGAGCACACACCCGTGCAGAGCACATACCCGTGCAGAGCACACACCCTGTGTAAAGCACACACCCACGCAGAGCACACACCCAAACAGAGCACACACCCGTGCAGAGCACACACCCAAACAGAGCACACACCCTGTGCAGAGCACACACCCAAACAGAGCACACACCCATGCAGAGCACACACCCAAACAGAGCACACACCCACGCAGAGCACACACCCTGTGCAGAGCACACACCCGTGCAGAGCACACACCCATGCAGAGCACACACCCTGTGTAGAGCACACACCCACACAGTGCACACACCCTGTGCAGAACACACACCCACACAATGCACACACCCACACAGAGCACACACCCGTGCAGAGCACACACCCACTCAGAGCACACACCCGTGCAGAGCACACACCTATGCAGAACACACACCCCCATGCAGAACAGATGCAGAGAAGACTCAGATAGGATTTAAACTTATTTTGTTCAGAAGAGGAAGAGGCTGCCCTGCCCCAGGTCACTGCCTGCTCTGACTTTTTCTCTTTGAAGATAATAGATCTGGTCAATTTAAAGGGGGCACAGGTGAGGTAAGAAACCAATAAGAACCTGAAACTTTGGCTGCCTAACTAAGTGGTGAATTATGGGCTCGTCAATGAATCCTAGACATGAGAGATGCGACGGCCCCCTGGGTCACATGGTCACCCCCCTGAGAGGAGCGTTTTCTCCGCAGCATCTTCTGTAAGTGCTTCTTCAGTCTAATTAGAAATGACCAAGCAATGGGGTTCCCACCACTGCCTCTTGGGGAACTATCTGCCGTCTAAGAGACCTAATTATTAGGGAATTGATCATTCTATTTATACTAAATTCTTCTGCACACAGTTGCATCACATCGCTTCTTAATTGTTCTCCTTTTGACCCTGCCTTCTCCTCCCCCAAACAATTCCTCTTAAGCCCTTCAATTACTTTTTCTCTCCGCTGATTCCCAGCTGGCCCACCTGAGAATGTAGCTGAGAAAAAAAAAAAGAGGAATTAAAAAAGGGCGGGGGGGGGGGGGGGAGACAGAGACCCAGCAGTCTGGGAGGGAAGCTGAGTCCACCGAAGGCCTACATGTCACTGGATGGTTTTGTGGTACTCAGGCAGCCAGCCACAGAGTACTGTGTCCTTGGGCAAGACAGCAGAGCAAAAGCCACAGCCCATTGTCACCGTAGCCATGGCTGGGTCCCAACAAGACCAGCCTAGCACACATATGTAGAAGGGATTAGGGACTGTTTCCAACACCAGTATCATTGCTTCTAGCACAGGAATGCTAGCCCAGAGCGAAAACCTCCGATCTCAATTTCAGAAGGAAGAAAGAGAAAACCAAGAACCAAGTTCACAGGGTCCCTGCCTGAGTGGTTCATGTAATCAGTATTGTGGAGACCAGCCTCTGACTCATGGCGCTGTATGACACAGCTGAGCATCCTGGTACCCACGCTCTCTGAACGTCCTCTCTAGGGCTCAGGAGGAAATACGGGAGCAGCATGTCTCCATAGCACAGTGGATCCTTTGCCTTGCACAGACCTGGGCTGGACAGTGGCCAGTGAAGCCTGAAATTGAGCTGCCATTATTCAAACCAAAGGCCAAGGAGGGGCATATTTGTCAGCAGATGCTCTGGCTGAAGGGGCGGCCCATCTATCCTGATCTTTCGTCTAAGGTAACGTGAAACACTCAAGCATTGTTGTAATCCCAATCTTGTATCCCTCAGCTTTTAAGTGGCGTGACCCCAAGCTTCGTGCACAGCCTGCACCAAACCCTGAAGCATGCACACCTGGCAGTGGAGCACGAGAAGGCTGGGGGTTCTCCAGGAACCCCCTCCCCATCCTACTCTTTGTCTCTTAGCGGGTCTTCACCTCGGCATCCTCCCTGCTTGCCCCACCTTCTCCTTGCGTCCCCACGAGTTGTTTCCCCACGGTACTCTCACATGCTTCTTATAGATGCTCCACCTAAAGTCCCACAGCTGGCGCTGACACCACCAAGCGAGACCCTCTAGTCCAACTCACTCCACTTCTAGAGGAAAACTGAGGCCAAACATTGCCAGAAGTCATCCCAATCAGAACCATTGTTTCAAGTTAAATGTCTGAAGATAGACCCCATGTAAATCTCTATGGTGGCTGCAATGGCTCAAGCAGCAAAGATTCAACTCCTGGTGTCAGGAAAGCAATAGCCTCATGGAACAGACTGAGATAGGTAGACCAGTCTCCAGTACAGTGACACATGCTTTAATAGAAAGTCAGATGAAGCCATCATGAAGTTGGAGAAAGAAATCAAAAGGTGAGAACCTCTTAACAGAGGGATATTTGAGCACAGACGAAAGGGAGGGAGGGAGGGAGGGAGGGAGGGAGGGAGGGGAATTGGCAGACCAGAGGTTACAGAGATATTCTAGGAGGTGAAATCATGTTCAAAAAGTGGCGAGTGAGCAGCCCAGTGTGTGTGTCAAGTTAAAGGAGGAGAAAATGAGCCTGGATAGGTAGATTGTAAAAAGGTCATGACCACACTAAGGAATTTGGATTTGGGATCTGACTTTCCTGTAGTCTGTGGAAGATGACAGAGAATTTTGTTCAGGAGCATTTTGGTATTAAACCTTCCATTTTACAAATGGAAGAGGCTACAGAAAAGGCCAGGATCAAGTAGACCTTCCTGAATTCACCCAAACAAAACTGAATAATAAATTGAACTAAGATGGCAAATGAGGAGATCAGAGAAAACTGGGTCATTCAGTTTTAGGAAAGATTTCCAACTCTGAGTCTATTGATTGTATGTGAAAGAGATAAAGAAGAAAATTCAAAAATGATTGAAATTTCTAATTGATTAGCAAGGTAAATATTCTTCATGGAGATGAGGAAACAGCAAGAAAACCTGGTTTGTGGGAAACGACAATGGGATCTTGGGAATATTGAACTTGAACTGGATGTGCAGTGCCTCCAAGAAGCATAGTCAACAATGCAGCCCCTTGAAGGAATGTGCACATGGCAGCTGAGTCCACGAGAGTGGTTTTTATTCAGTGATAGAGTGCCGTGTGTAAGGAGGAGATGAAACGAAACTTGGAACATTGGGACATGGGGACCAGGCAAGAGAGAGATGCCAGTTCAGGAGGAGATGAGTGGGGAACGGAAATCATCTTGGCCCCAGTAGGGCAGGCTTAAAGGACAGAGACACACACTTAAGACTGATGCAGGAGCATGAACAAGGCAGAGTTGTGTGTGTGTGTGTGTGTGTGTGTGTGGTGGGGGGGGGTCTTTCGTAACTATATTCATAAGGCATCAGTTCAAGAAAGAAAGAGTAGTTGATGGGCGAGAACTCTAGAGTCTTCGTGAAGTGAGGTGGCCAATAAGAATGAAAAGGGAACAGTAAAGCATCCCTTAAGCCGACAGGATGAAAGGGAGCCTCAACGGGGAGGCATGTCCCATAGTGGGACGGAGGTAAGCTGGGGACATTCATGTCTGTTGGGCATATTTTCCCCCATGAAATAGGAAACGTGCTCTTCTACGTGCGGCTAGAAAGACTGGTCGAGGAAAGTGATAGAGAACCCATCAGTGGCAGCTCAAAGAGGTCACAAGAAGTGGTCGAACGGCACAGTTAGAACCAGTGCTGACGTAAGAGAGGGGCATCAGGCACACGTGCAGCATTGGTACCAAGAGTGCCAGGTTGGGTTTTTAGTTTTACTCTAGTCTCTCACTGTCCCACCTGTGCCCTGACCCTAAGCTCACAGAGCAATCTTGGCAGCCTAAAAGAGGTTGCGAATCATAGACTCTAATGATGTAGTTTGTTCTCACAGGAAACATCTTCCATGTTCCTTAGATATCCGGGACCGGACATAGGCAAAAAGAGAGAGAGAGGAAGAAAAGGAGGGAGGGAGAAAGAGGTTAGTCCATTAGCTACCTATCAGAAAAACACATAAAATAAGAAGTGAACAGAGCGAGAAGGAAGCGCTTTGAGAGTGGAGTTGAAATGGTTGCTCCAACAAGGCAGAAGAGGAAAGAGGCCAGGAGGAAGTGGTGTGATGCTCACACAAGGGAAGGTCAAGAGACAGGGAGTCCCAATGAGACCAAAGGATATGTTTCAAGGGCATGAAAGGCTGAGGGCTGACAGGAGGATCAGAGGTTGTGGTCAGAAAGGAGAATTTCAGAGTTCAGGATTTCAAAAACAGAGCAGCTCCAGTTGGTGACAAGGTCTAGTCGTTGCTGTTGGAGCAGCTGCCAAGTACAGTGGAGGTGGAGGCAGCTAGGGGAACACTCGGAGCTGCGCGCACGGTGGCTGCATCAGACGGGGTCCTCTGCGGGACGTGACTGCAGGAGTTGAAGGGGGAAAAATCACTCCACAGTCCAAAGAAGGTTCATGTGACTAGGGTTAAAGAGAATTCTTTACAAACAGCCATCTGGCCTTCTTGTTCAAGTCAAAGCCATGCCCAGGAAGTTGACCGTTGTCTCCCCAGCAGAAAGTACAGAAGACTCCTTGTTCTACTCTGTAGCTTCCTAGATCCAGGCTTTCTGCACGTCACTGTCATTGCTGAGACAATGGTAACCCAGAGTGCACATGAGTCCAGGCATTGGGTTGGCTCTAATCAAGCCCTGCAACAGCATCATGTAAGACAGTTTCTTCCACCTTCCACAGCTAAAGTTCCCTTTCAGTGCTGCAGAAAAGCTTGTATGTGAAAAAGAACATTTTTGACTAGCTGTGTTTTCTACTCTAGTGCATAAAAAGGGTTTTTTTTTTCTGTTCTCGGACTTATTTCCTATCAAGGCTTCAATTTATATTGAACTGCTTAATAAAGAAAGAAGCGATGACGCAGGATTTAACTTTTAAGAAGATGCCTCGTCAAGCATACTCATTTTTATTGGAACAAAAATAAAGCAGAGCTGAAAAGACCTGAAGATGCTGGGTCTGAAATAAGCAGGCTTGACCCGAGGACCGGGGTGAAAGGTCAGCGGCAGGTGACGATGACCCAGCCAAGCCTGATGAACACTGCTTTGAGACTGGAGCCAGCAGAGATCCTGTGCCCCAACTGCTCATGTTCACTTTGGCTTCCTTGTTCCAGGGCAAACTTTGAGAATGTCTCAAAAATTAATTTCTGTAGACTCTCCAAGGCTCTTCCCATAAAAGAAAACTAAGTGTTAAAAAGGAGTGCCCAGCACCACTGGACGCCCTGAGCATGCAGCTGCCACCGTGGGCACTGAAGGTATCATTGACCCCAAGCTGGACTATTGAATTATTCAGCAGACATTTAATAATTAAGACCATAATTGTTCAGAAAGACACACTTTACGAAAGCCCGATGAGCTCGCACTCCCTTCATACAGAAAATATTACAGAGGTTTCAACTGAATGTGGACGTTTTGAAGCCTATCTTTATAATGCTGGAGAAATGTATCATAGGTTTGACAAGAACAGTAGACCTCGGGTCAACCAAGAACAATGAGGCTTAATAAGCCCTTTAGGACCTTGCTACAGTTTGAATGCTTGTCCCCTTCACAATCCATGTGGAAATTTAATTGTCATAGTAACACTAGGAACAGGAGGGGCTTTGGGGAAGTAATTAAGCCATGAAGGCTCCACCTCATAGATGAGAGCCGTGCCATCATTACCTCTCTCTCTCTCTCTCTCTCTCTCTCTCTCTCTCTCTCTCTCTCCCTCCCTCCCTCCCATGAGGTGAAACAGCAAGAAGGCCTTGACCATGCACTCATACCTTCATCTGAACTTCCCATCCACCTGAACCGAGCCATGAGCTCCTAGTCACTATAAATGACTTGATCCGTGGCATTGCATATTGTGTCCGAGCAGCACAGCATGTAAGGAAGCAGACATCATTTTTGTGCCGACTTTCTTTCTATCTTCTCCCTGAATCCTTGCCTTGCCCCAATCTCCTTCCTTTAAATACCAGGTCAAATGGTATCTCCTCCAGGAAGTTGTCTCCAAATACTCTGCTCCCTGGGCCTTTCTCACTTCTGAAACAAAAGAAGAGAGTTTATTTTGGCTGGGAATATGATGCATGAAGCAAACAGCATTTATTCACGCTATAAAAGCTTCTATGTAAGTAAAATAGCATTGCCTATGTCCAGGGTACACTCATTTGAAATGGATGGGGAGTAATGGAGAAAGAAAGGCAGAAAATATTTTATAATTATTTGATCTATACTTTCTTTATGTGACACCCTATACATGCTTTATATTTTAACCAAAGTACCACCCAGTTTAGCAATTACACAATATTTTCTATGCTATTGACTTATAGCAATGTCAGGATGTGGCATCACATACATCATTGTATAACAAGACACAGTTATGTATAAAAAGTCTATTTTCAAAACTAAACAGTCAGGCTAAATGTCTGCATCTTGGTTTTCAGCACTGTTCCCTAGGTCTCCTTGGCTAAATGGCTGATCCCAGGAGGAGTACAGAGACCACATACGATGAGACTAAGATACCAAACCATGTCATAAATAAGGAGATAATCAGCAAACAACATGATGGAGACACATCAGAGATGGCAAAGTCAATATCAAAGAGTTCCCAATGGCCAAAACTGGAATAATATGAAGACTACAATGAAGAACATGCTGTCCAACTGTAATCCAAAATATAATATTAATTTCCACACACCCTTGCTGATGTAAATGGGTGATTGAATAAACAGATGATAAAAATAATCTCCCATCCAGAAGCATCCCAAACAGTTTCTGTATACAAGTCCCACTGAGAGGTGAAACCTATCCGCTCTAACCTGTCCACCTACTTAAGGACCCATGGCTGGAGCACAGTCCCAACAGCACAGGCAAGGCCTTGCAAGGCTTCTTGAACAGAGTTTATCTGAGCCTTTATTGGTTTGGGGGGCTAATAAGAGTATCTTCTTATTTTGTTTATTAACTTTTATTTTGAAGTTAAAAAGAGGACCTTGTTCTATAGACCCCTTGTTTCTACTCCTTGGGGCGAGTCATTAGAGGCCACTCACACTCAAGGTGGGGTAAGCGGAATTAGGAGAAAGGGTGAGATGAACTTACAGTGAAGAATCTCAAGGACTAACTGTGAAGAAATCTGGCAAACAGTACCAAACGGTCAAGGTCATATCATCAAAAGGAGGTATAGGTGTATCTCCGATATAGTACAACCTTTGATAGAGTATGACGACAGACATGTCATCTCCCTGCCCTTCTTTCTGAAACACGTGGCCCCATTTAACTTCCTCAAAACCATCAAGGTCAAGCAAACTCTGAGAAACTGTCAGAGACCTGAGGAAATTCAGGAGACAGGATCGCTAACTAGTCTTTTGGATGTGATCCCGAAGCAGAGAGATGATGACGTGAAACCTAATGAAGACTAAACAGGCTGTAGACTTCACTGTATCGGTGACGTGCCAACCTTGATTCTTTCGCTGTAAAAAGCCAGCCAGAAAATGCAAGATGTGAGCTTCAGGGAGGCTGCGTACAAGGCATTTAGGAACACTGCTCTCTGCAGCTATCTGCAAGTCTGAAACTAGGTTAAGATGATTTAAGGTAAAAGAATGAGAAAGTGAGCAGTATAGAATATTTTAGCTAGAGATAGCGAAAGAGACACCGAATCAAACCCCCTTGTCACAGGCAGAAACTAGGCCCACATGGCTTGATGACAGGATTAAGGTCACATGATAAGAAGACTAAGACAAAGCCAGCATCCCCCAGTCCCACCGCTCTGCCTCCCTCACTGTAGGATGCTGAAGACGGCTAGCTGAGAACTCTCAAGAAAGAAAATGGTACGGTCTGGAGAGATGGCTAAGAAGCTAAGAGCGCTGGCTGCTCTTCCAGAGGGCCCAGGTTCAATTCCCAGCATCGACATGGTGGCCCACAACAGTCTGTAACTCCAGATCCGGGGGATCTGACACATTCACACAGACATACGGGCAGGCAAACACCAATGAACAGAAAAAAAAAAAAAGATAAATCTTAAATAAGTAAATTTTTTAAAGGAAGAAAATGACTATTAACTTTGGAAAAACACAAATGACACACTTTACAGAGGTGGGCCCGTACTCCAAGGGTCTCGTGGCAGCTGAGGTGGTGACTCCTCGGGGCCCTTTGAGAATTGATCTGAGGTTTTCATTGGCTTTCTAGGTTAAGAGCATCTTCTCATTTTGTTTATTATCCTTTTTTTTTCCTTATGGAAGCAAAAATAGAACCTTGGTTCAAGAATTAGTTGGGAGCCAGCAAAACTGAATAGTGATGAGACCGTTTCTATCAAATAGCTTCATTACCATTCTGGTGTCTGATAAAACCAAATGTTCAATTCTCTCTAGCAAGGAAGGTGCTAAAGGCAACATCCTTCTACCTTTTGTGAGACAAAAATCTAGAGCTGAGATATTTTAAAGCTGTCCCATTCACACATACACAGTTCTGACTGAACCAAACTGGGATATACAGTCTTTTGTAACTTCCTAAATAATCTAAGGCAATAACAAAATACTCCTAGTCTGTGATTTTTTTTTTAATGCTTGGTGTTATTTTAAAAAATAAAAGTACACATGCCTGTGAGTGCTAGAATAATTTATTCTCCTTCTAACGTGGAAAATATTTGTTTTTAATTTAGACCTCTAATGCCTGGCTGTAGATCAGGCTTCTGCAATTGAAATGCAAGTGAAATTCTCCTTGTCTCCCATCCACAGATGAAAAGAGACTGTCTGTTAAGCGTAGCCGCTGAGGAATCAGTCAACTGAACTTTTTTACTACCCTGCCTAGCCTGGATCTACCCACTGTGGAGAAAGGCAGCAAGATTTCTAGGACCCACACACTGAGAGCAAGAAGTCACAGTGTGCAGGCAGAGTCCCCCTCACAAGACCTGATCTCTGTACAAAAACGAAGTTGCCTGTCAAACTTACTCTGCAGCCGTCATTGTGACCTGAAGGACAAAACTATCTAAATAGAAATACACGGACATTCAAACTTTCGGAAACAAACGCCCAACCTAAGTCCCCAGAGGAAGCATCATAATTTTTGCAGGATATTATTTATTCCCTCCCAGAAAGAAATGAATGGGCCGACGTCCAGATGGATCCATCGTGAGTCATCTATCCCCTATTTCCACCTGCCCCTTCCTCTGGCAAAAAAAAAAAAAAAAAAAGAGTCCCCAAAGTTTCTCCCTCAGCCCTGAGTCAGAGCCGCCCATCTGTCAGCGTGGTCCATCCAGGAACAGTTAACCTCAATGATTATTTTCCACTCGGTAGTAAAACCCTTTCCCTCTCCGCAGCTGGAGAGCTCTGACTCTTTCCTTTTACTCCTCCAGCCATTTAAGCCAGAAACTCCGGGCAGGCCGAGCGGAGAGCGTCATTTATTTGTACGCTGCGCACTCCGAGGCAGGAGGTCTGAGGGGGGCCTCTCTGAGCCACGGTGATAGAGTCTTTTAACACTGAACAGTGCAAATTGTCCACCAGGGACGATTTGAAATGTCTCTTCAATGCACAGCGCCCGGTGCCTCCAGCCTGGCTCCAACTGCGTTTCGCCACTTACGAGGGACTCTTGCAGAACAGCCTCACGGAAGTTCCCTGGCTATAGCAAGAGGCAGATACAAATAAGTTAGGGGAAACTCAAGGTGAGACAAAAGAATCAAAGAATGTGAGTACTCACCCCTGAGCAAGATAGCTTCTTATTACACACACACACACACACACACACACACACACACACACACACACACACGGTTACTGAAAGCAAACCTACTTGTTAATGTTCAACTTTCATATCTGGCTACAGATTGGACTGGCAATAAAGGGCCGATGGGTTCTTTAAGGCAGGCACCCCACTGATAAATCAGAAACAATAAAGCTGGAGACAGGCTTGCTGGGCCCCAGCTGGTATTGCTTATATCTGTCCTAAGCAATCAGGAATCATGAAGAGACTTCTTTTTGGAACTCCTAACCACAAGACTTCACAGTGACCGCCTCAATCCCACATGCCTATGTGCTGAAGGGGCGTGCAGGGGAGGGGATACCTTTATTCTTTTTGACAAGATCAATCAGACTCTCTGGAATCTCCTCATGGCCCACTTCTCCCTAGCCAGCTCCCATCCTCCATCCCACTCCCTCCCGTACCCAAGAAAATTTTCACACAGCAAGTCATCGTCTCCCCACCCTAGCTTTTCTTTCTGTTAGGCAATAGCCAAACCTTGGTACTCTTTGGTCCAGAGAAACTCTCCAGGAAGTAGTCAGGCGTCCTCCAACACATAAGTAAAGACACCACACCTGAGCTCCAGAGAGGGCAAAACCACCCACAGTATACCCGAGTCTTCAAACAGTGGGGTCTTATACTCCTACCATCCCAACAAACTCGATTACTACCCAGGATCTCTGCAGCATCAAACCAAATCTTACAGAAGAGTATAGGGGATCAATGGTATAAGTCAGAGTCCCCCCTCTTCTCCAACCCCTGCAGCCCAAGCCGGGCAGTTCGGTTCTTCAGGCAAAGGCAACCCCACTTTCCCTTCACCTCCTCTCACACCTGTTCACAGCAGACAGAGCCTTGGCTCCATTGAACCCCTTTGTGGAAACACTCTGGGTGCATCACAGCCTTTACGAATAGACGGCTTCTTCTCCATACTTTTCATTGTGGAGGCCACCATGGCATCTATTTTCAGGCATCAGAAACTGCCACATGGTTACCATGAGATCCACTCAGGTCTCTCTTATGTGGCATTCCCAGATACACTAAGTAGATATCACAGAACCAACTTGCGTTTCTTCAGGGCCACTTATATTCCCAAGAAGATCTTCCGCTTTGCGAGATTGTTGAAAGGGTCTTTCTGCTCAGTGCTGGGCTGTGCTGCAAACCCCAGAATCTCCTTTCCCCCCAGCCCTACCACTATGCAATGGGGGAGTCCTGTAGGCTCCTACCCTTGAGGAAAGAAGTTGAAGGAGTGGTTTCTTAGCACTGAGGGCAGAGGAGCATGGGGGGGGGGGGGAGATGCTGGCCGGATTGCTGACAGGGCACATCAACTCTTAGTCTTAGTTCTTCTAAGAGAAGAGCAACTTAGCAGGGCATGAAGAAGCTTCACTAATAATCCAGTGTGTTTAGGCAACTGTGAAGAAATCCTTTCAAGTCTCATGCTGACCAAAATGCAAGGGTGTCCCATCTTGTGCTTTCTGGGGTACTAACAGAGGAGATTTCATGAGGAGCCTACAAACCATATAAGGGACTCATGGAGCAGCAAAGTTCACGTTGTCCCCTAATTTCATCAGCTGTCTACACCTTAAGCCTCTCTGATTTTTCCCGACACCATGGTGTAACCATAGGAAGACCCAACTAAAGACCCTGGCATTCTGAAAAAGGTATAGTCACACATCCTGGGTATTTTCAGCCATGCATTACATCTTTAAATTAGCCTGTCATCTGAGTAGGGATAATCCTCCATGTCTCTCTTCGTCTAGCTGCAGCGACTTTTGAGTTATTGGCCATATTTCTAGTGACTGCATGCAGACTACAGACTAGATTGATGCCAAACTTCATAATTTTGCAATAGCTTTCCCATCAGTGGTACATCTCTGGAAGAGTTGCTCTAATGTATAATTTTGTCAATTGGGATATATAGATCCGTGTATTTAAATAGCCACGCTCTTCTTGGCTTGCACATATAAACACTTCCTGTTTCTGGAATCAACTTGAAATCGCATTTTTCAGAACTTGGAAGCCCTGGAAAGTAAACCATTAATTCTGCACATAGGTCCAGGCACACATATTTGAATACGTGGGTGGATGCTGATTGGGTGAATGGGCATATGAGGAAGTGCAACACGCTGGTTTAAATTCTGTAGCCAGGGCCGGACCGTGGTGGCGCACACCTTTAATCCCAGCACTCAGGAGGCAGACATAGTTGGGTCTCTGTGATTCGAGGCCAGTCTGGTCTGCAAGAGCTAGTTGAGAAACCCTCTCTCAAAAAGCCAAAAAAAAAAAAAAAATGTGTAGTCAGCATAGTTTAAAGACATTTAAACTTGCTCAACACTGTTCCAAGTTATTACCTAGCTGTCAGCATTTCCAGATATTCCCAGTAACTTTCCAGGACAGACAAAATTCTGTCTCATGGCCTGCTATCAGTGGTCTACAAGGCATCCCCTCTTTCCCCACAAGCATACCTTCTTTGAAGAAATTCTTGTGACTTGGGAGTGCTGCCTTTGCTTGCTTCTTTTGCGCACTAGCTTGAAGGCAATAATGAATGGCCACACCTCTGGCAGGAAAACATGCAGTGTTCTTTGTAATTTCTCAGTCTCTTGGTCAGTGGGCCTACACCACAAGTGATGGTGCTATCTAGCTGGCCACTCTGGTCTTACAGCCATTTCATAAACAGAAACTGACCCCATTCAACAACAACAACAATAACAACAATACACACACACTCACACACACACACACACACACACGCACACACACACATGCACACTCACAGAGTCACGGAACAAAAGTGCAGGCCACTAACCAGGGCTCAAGGTCACATTTCTACAAACACCTGCTTGTTCTCCGATAACACCTGCTAAGAATCTCAAACAAAAAGGGCAAGGCTCTATTGATACAGTCCCCTGCTCTAGGCTGTGGAGGGAGGTGCAGCCCTCCTGGTATGCTCAAGGTGAGATAATAGGTGGACAAACTCCCAGGGTGCCCCCAAAGGACCAGTTTTCCTGTCTGCGTAAGTCCCATCGTGGGGAATTTGTGGCATGAGTGACTTTCACGTGCCCACACTGCCTGTGCTGAGGTCTGTCTGCAGAATGACCAGAGCACTAACCAAAAATGCTAGTCACGTCAGCCGAGAGAGTGAATCCCAGTGGGGGAATGTCTGGAGGGTTCTGCCACAAAATACACGGTAATCTCCTCTGTTTCCTGGTAGTCTCAGACTCCGAGCAGCAATTCTTGCAGCTTTCAAATTCAGATGATAACTCCCAAAGTTATCCATAACAATGATGAGCTCTAGGAAGAGATCAAGTAAGGAGTCCTCATGCCTCCTGTTTTCCGCAGTAAGTTCTGACTGACATGCCCATGATCCATGATCATGTTCTTATAAATGTGTCATAGGTTAGAGATGACCATAAATCTTTCCTCTCCTCCTACTGAAAGATAGAAATCTAATTTCTCACCTGGTAATTTGGTCTGTGACTTGGGGT